GATAAACTGTTTATACAGATTGTTTTTCTTTTTGCAAGCATTAATAATTCCTTTTGTGAGCCAAGGACTTTTTATCTTTTTTTTCTTTGTCATGTGTTCGTTTACAGGACAATGTTTATTGTACAACACAGTGAAAATATCTAGGAAATTGTCATAAGCCTTGACTGCAGGAGTCCCTTCAACGCTGCTTTTAGTGGAGAAAGAAGAACTTCTCCTTGGCATGGTGGATGCTGATTGGCTAAACTTGGAGAAAACAACCACAACACGCTCTGTTTTCAAAACTCAGGGAAGCCAGAGGAGATGGAAAACAACAAGCAAGAACCAGAGTGACGCTAAAGCTGAGTGCAAGCAGACCCAGCTGCCTGATCTTCAGGAGGTAACCGGAGCATCATGGCCTCCGTGTCTACCTGGATCCCTGTGTGATCGGACTGGGCTGGTTTTCACTCCCTCTGCTTAAACGGTAAAGGAAACTGGGTCTGTGTCCTCGGCAGGAGAGGGATGTGTGACAGCCTCAGATTTATAACGTTAACTGGTGACAGTGTGAACGCACAGCTCACGTCATTAGGATGAGAAATGAGTCCATCAGAGGAACAGCTGAGAGTCAGAGGCTGAGGCGGTTTGGACACGTGCAGAGGAGGAAGAGTGGACATACGGGACGAGGATGATGAAGCTGCTGGGCAGGAGGAGAAGAGGAAGATCTGCACTGCAAAGAAGCTTAAATCTAAAACGCACACAGCTGTTAGGGTTAGAGGAAGATTCCAGCTCATGTGCAGTAAGTGTGACCAGGATCAGTCACAGGGAAAAGCATCAGTTCAAAGTAGGTGTTTTCATCCCTGCTGCCTCCACTCGGGTGGGTGAACAAGTGTGTTTGCATGAATGTCAGACGTATGTGGGAAAGAAGAACTCGTCTGACTGCAAGGATGAGCCTTCTATCATTTAAAACACCAATGAGCACTGTGTAATCTATTACTTTGAATAGAGTAACGACTCCATCACTGCTTGTGAGCGTTGGGCTCACTGTACACACTGATCCATCCATTTTCTTCCACTTATCCTCGGCAGCAGCCCAAGCAGAGAAGCCCAGACCTCCCTCTCCCCAGCCACCTCCTCCAGCTTGTGCCTGGGAACCCCACGGCGTTCCCAGGCCAGCTGAGAGATTTAATCCCTCCAGCGTGTCCTGGGCCTGCCCTGGGGCCTCACCCAGGAGGCGTCCTTGTCAGATGCTCAAACCACCTCGACTGACTGCTTTCGATGTGAAGGAGCAGCGGCTTAACTCTGAGCCCCTCCCTCTCTAAGGGCGAGGCCAGCCACCCTTCAGAGGAAGCCCATCTCAGGCCGGGCCCGGGGAGCGTCTGGAGGACTTTGGGATTCACTGACACATCACAATGAACTAAGGAGGCAGCTTTTAAATGAAGTCATAATTCAGTGCTTTATGCGTTACTGTGAGACTATGAAACGCTCTGCTTCGTGCTGCCTGTGTGCAGCGGCTCGTGCAGCCTGCAGGGGGAGCTGGCGAGGTCTGGCTGGGTCTGATTGGAGCTATTTGCGGCTCCATTAGTCGTGTTGATGTCTGAGCAGTTTAATGCGTGCTGTGCCGGCTGTCAGCAGCTGAATTACAGGTTCAGGTGGTTTCATGATGCTTTAACATGTTTTTGTGGTTTTCAGAAGCAATAAAAGTCTTCTTCAGCGCAGCTGGAAACCCCCTCGCACACACGCATTAATTACACTGCTCTGGTTTCCTGTTTCATCTTTGACATCAACAGACTGAAAAACATATTTTCATCAGCGTAAGATGATTTTTATGACCTGCTTTCATGTGCACATCTGTCACCACATTAATGTTTTAAACAAGCAGCTGCGTCTGTGCAGGCATCGCTGTTTGCCAGGCTGCAGGTACACAGCGCTCATCATCATCACCACCTTCACCCTGAAACCCCACACACTGACTTTAATAAGACCGTTATCTTTGGTTGTTGTCACTGCAGGAGCGAATGATGCGACGGGTTCTGGGGAGGAGGAGCTAAAACAACTCAGAGCGGGGTCGAGAGTAATGGCAGCAGGTAGGTGTGAGTAAGTCAGCTCCAGGTGAACCTGAGATCACGCTAACAACACTGAAGCTCCAAGACCCTGCAGATATTAGGGGCGGGGCCTGTTTGACCGACCGGTGGATGGCGACACAGGCGGCTGTAGCTGCTAGCTTCACCTGAACTGGACCTCTGCACCGTGTTGACATCATGTGACCAGTAACATGGCTGTACTAACAGACTGTCCAGGAAGGCGGAGCGGCAGTTTGGTGAGAGAAATTTGAGCATTTTGATTGGATGTTAGCTGATTACTCACACTCTTCCAAATATGGTAAATTTTTCCAAAAAACAGCTAAATGAGGCTAAGAAGGAGGCTTCAGAGAGCGTGATGTCACAATGGATACATCCACCATAATCCAGAGTACGCGAGGTGAGGACGATCCAAACACCCTGCAACGCGCTCCTGTGATCCAGGATCAACGACGACCAAAAAAACACTGAAGCTCAGAAATTAAGGGGCAAAAACACAGAAATATCAAGTGTGGCTGGAAAACAGCGTTTACCTGCAGAGGCACACCTGCACCAATCAGAGTCCGGCTGAGAGCGAGGTGTTTCCCTGAAGCTGTGAGTCAGCGTGGTATTTTTACCAGCATGTGATTTGCGGTCGGGCAGCGTCACGCCGCTGCTGTTATCATGTGACTCACTGACAACATCCTCATTGTCATGTCTGCTCTGACATCTGCCAGGACTCACCTGGACAGGTAAGCAGCACCGCCCCAGCTAAAAACATCCTGAGGGGGGCGCTGTCCTGAGTTCATCCTCTGAAGAGGACGCACAAGATGAAACAATCCTGTGAGAATAAATGTGAGCGGACATGTTTCACTGTCCGCGAGTTCAGTGTCACAATAAAATAATCCTTTAAAGTTTGGCTCATATCGCTGAGTTTCAATATGTAGGATGATTAAACGATCCCAGATAATAAAAAAGTTTAATTCATCAATGAAAAAGATCATTATGTGACAGAACTTAATAGATATGAGAAAAAATATCTTTCTTCTGAAATGTTTGTCATAAATCATTCATGTGCGAAGAAGCTACGTCTGTCACGTGTCCAGGTCTGCCAGACAGGAGACGCAGCATCTCAGGACTTCCTGCTTCATTAAAAATAGAAATAAAAATAATAAAAATAAAGTCTCATTTTTAAATGTTCTTGTCTGTAATTCAATCAAATAAAACAATCTACAGTTATACTGATAATCTCCATAATCAATCAAATATATGTCTCTCATGTTCATCACCTTGACCTGCTGACAGGTTCTGCAGATTTATCAACTCAATCTTAGTAATCGGTGCATTTACTCGAATCCTGGGAGTTAAGAATAAAGAGATCGGTGGGGCTGTTCTCACAGCTGTTACAATAATGTTCAGCATCCATGTTAGCAGGAAGTTAGTGAGATAGTAAAGATGACACACCACGGTGGTTAGCTGCAGAGCTGTGGTTAGGCTAATGCAAACAGATTAATTAATCTGCTGCTGGTTTGGATTACTCTGTGAAAACGCCCTGATCCTCAGCTGACACACCTGAGCTTAAAGACGTGCTGCACGTGACCAGAGCTGATGAACAGCAGGATGAGCGAACGCGTCGGTTTTATTAATGATGCAAACAGAGGTCAACAAGCAGGCAGATTACTGAGTACAGATGACTTCATGTTCAGGAAACGTCTCTGGAGGAGGGTTTAACCAACCACGAGCCTCACAGCTGAGTCCAGCCTGCTTTGTGAACATGCTTTCACTGTCAGTCATCTACAGTCACCCGCTGGTCGCTGCATCAGTGCTAGGAAACTAACTGTATATAAAAGAAGGATGTGACATCACCGCTGGTTAGTGAGGTCATGCTGCGAAGCCACAAACTGAACGTTATTGCTGTCACCGTGTTTAAAACCAGAGGTCCCTGGTGTGCAGTAGATCTGACTCTGAAACTGACCGATGCTGCATTCTCATTGGCTAATAACTCACCAATACAGGGACCACCAGGACACTCACAGACAACCAGAGGAGTCGCCCCCTGCTGGCCATTAAACGTTAGTGCACTTCCTCTTTGGTGTAACATTTCAGACCAGGAAGGTAAAAGGTTTACGAAAGCCGACGGTGGGGAGACCCTGAAAGACAGACAAACACTGACCTGGATGCTCTGGAAGGTCTGGAAAGAACCATCCAGCCAGATGTAGATGGTGGAGCTGATGATGGTGGTTCGACCGTCAAAGGTGTTGGCCACCACCAAAAAGTGGTACGGCCCCACAGTAAAGAACTCCCAGTCGTAGGCTCCGGACGTCAGCAGAGTCTGGTTCACCTCAAATAGCTGCAGAGACAGGAGGGACGGGTTAGGACCGAAAACACGAGGACAGAGACGATCAGGAGCATCTATAAAGGACAGGAGAAGATCTCATGTTGTGACTGAACAGCAGCACCTTTGTGTCAGGGTTCCACCTGTAGATCACACTGTGGATGTTGTGGTTGGAGTCTCTTTCTGAGGACACACAGGGACACATTGACATGATTTCGACACTTCAGTTCTCGTCCATGTGATCACAGAGTAAAGCCAGAGAAGTGCATCCAGCTTAGAAGAACGAGTCGTCTAACAACGAGAAACACAAAACCCATCACATGAAATCTCCACGGAGATTAGCCTCAACAAAAGGGAATCACCGTCAGTTGCATCTCACACCTTCATGTGATCTGATTACATCTCTACAAAACCCTGGAACTGAGTCTCTATTTGTTTTTTGTACCTGACCAACACCAGATTATCTTCAGGATCAACCTTGGAGTGACTAAGATGATGGACTCTGATCTGCAGGACCGTCCAGCTACCAAATGCTCAGAAAAACACAGGTCTGCGAATCACTGTGGCTGTGATAGAACAGACTGATGGTTTGGACTGTGCTTGGTGCAAAGACACAACCTCATTCAGTTTCTGTTTCAGGTATTTTACCCACAGACTAACAGGTAGAGATGACGACGGACAAATAACATGTTTGACCAAACTGTTTGGTTTACGGTTGAGACGAGTTTCTAACCTTCACCCTCGGTATGGAGCTCTCAGAGCTCTGTCACTGTTTGTTTTCCACGTGTTAAAAGCTGAGTCGTGCACAGACATTGCCATATTAAAGTTTGTCGTTGATGCTATCTGAAGGGTGTGTGTCAGTACTCATGGAGGTACCTGCAGGCCTAAACCTGCCCACTTTAAAGTTCTCTGCATGCAGACCGGAGGTTTCCTGGATGCACGTTTGTGAGAGGGATTAGCATCCATGAAGTGAAAATAATCCACGTGTTTAGTGATCCTGGTTTGTCCAGTTACAGTTTGAGTTCTGTGAAAATGAAGGAAAGAAATTCCTAAATGGTTAAAACAGTCATGGCGGTGATGTTCAGACCTGTGACTCGAATAAAGTCTCATTCAAAATCATTTCATCTGAGTTGACTTTTTTCTACAACACAAATGTATTTGAATAAGTTTGGATAGTTTGGTTGGAGACACGACTGCAGACGACCTGTTTTTAAATAAAGACATTAAAATATTCTTGTAAATGCAGAAGTTTGAGGTTTGAACCATTAATGAATCTTTAAAATATCCCGTCTGAGTTTTCACAGCCTGCTAGCAGCTAATTATTTACCCGGCACAAAAGTCCCTTCATAATCTGCCAGTTTTTGCTCGTTTCATGTATTTAGCAGATAAAGAGGACAGAAAATCAAAGTTGGCCCATTCATATCGAACGTGTTGGTGCTGAGGTGATTTCGGCCGGTGCGCTGTGACTTCACCATCATTCAGAATAAACACGAGCTCAAACAGAGAGACGGCGCACAGAGGTGTGTGATCTAACCACAGTACACCTGCACAGCCTCAGCCTCAGGAGTGTTTTATCTTTACAGGAAGTGCACACATGAATGTGTTTGAAGTGTTTACACTGACGAGGAGATACGAGCTCTTCAAAGCTCCTGTTTGGTCAGGTGGAAACCTCGTATCTCCATCATCAAAAAGCCTCGTTTTAACCTTTAAACCCATCAGAAACGACCGGCTGCTCTGGAGCTCCTCATCCCGCTGCAGAGACTCGTTAAACTCAGATACTTCCTTCACTGCAGAAAATACCCTGAACATGAAGGAAAATCAAATTGAACGAATAAATACTGCCGATCAGGAACGTTTGATCCTGAAAGTTCATCTTTGATCTGGAAATAAAAAGAAAAGTTTTATTAAAGGTTCTGTTTGCAGCATTTTTATGCATGAAATGCTTCGTTGGCCTCACAGACTGCAGGAGAGGGACATCTCGGGGCACAAAGAGCAGACGCCACTCTCCATTTATTATTTTTAAATTTTGATTAACTCGTGGCCTGATGATGTTCTCCTGTGGAGACAACAATGAGCTCTTATCCTGGTTTTGTGTGATGCCCCAGCAGCTGCAGTGATCCATTCATTTAAAATGAAAAAGACTGCATTACAGTCCACTTCCTGTTTACCTCGTCTGTGATTGGCCACGACCAGGAAGCTGTGGTTGTGAATGCGAAAGGCCTCCCAGTCCTGGGCAGTGTGAGTCTCCAGAGTCTGATAACGGACGAAACGCCGCCGCCGCCGATGCCACTGATAGATGACAGACCGCTCAGACCCCGCCTCTCTGAAGTTTGCCGCCACCACGAGAAAAATCTGAAGGACAGAAACACGGAGATGGATTTGGTTCAACATCACAGCGCCGAGCGGCCCTGCTCAGCTTTCACTGAACGACGACTCACAGAAGTCTGTGTGCGCTGCAGTGACCTCTGACCTCTGCAGAGACTGTTCCTTTACACACTTCTCTGAGTTAACAGGACTGAATACCTGCAGCACAATACCTGCACACAGCTGTGTGTGTGTGTGTCACACACTGTGCAAACAAGGCCAACACAATGTGCACACAAGGGTTCAAAGAGAATCAGCCTCAGATCTGTTTGTCCTCCGCCCTCTGAGCTCCATCCACTCCACGACTCTCAGCTGCACCACCATCACACCGGATTTATTAATCATGTTTTAAAGGTTCTGCCTGTTTCGCTTGATTAGATCTGATCCCTCTGGCCTGATGGCACTTTGTGTTTTCTGTCTGTGACAGAAACAAGCTGCTTCGTCCACCGACGTCCACGCCGAGGACCGCACACGAGTGTGATGTCAGACAGTATTGATTTTATCCAACAATAAATCGCATGATGGCACAAAGACATTTAGTTTCTATGGTAACAGCCAACAGAAGGACAGTTAGCGATTAGCTATAACTTCTCTCTGTTGTCAGCATGTTTACGTCGTCAGCTGACGCTCATCTATACAAAACACACGACACACAGAACATACAACGATCCGTGACTGTCGCAGTGACAGTGGGAGCTCGTGTCGTGCATCAGTCACAGCAGCACGGTGCTGGCTGGTCGCAGCCCGTGGGCGGAGCTAAGCCCACGGCTTTGTGCTGAGCTCCTTGAACTCCTCGTCCATGCTGGAGGCGCTCACCTTGTCGTCGATGGTGAAGTGTTTCCAGGATCGAGCCTCCTGAGTGCTGATGTTCTGGTAGAGCTGGAAGGAGGCGTTGGTCCACCTGTAGATACCTGAGCCGGACCGAGAGTCCCTGCCAGGGGAGACACGAGGGTTAGACTGAGAGGACAGAGACTTGTCCACAGCTGTTTCTGCTGCCGTGTTATTACTTGTTGGCTGCAGCCATGAACAGGCCCTCAGACGGGATGGAGAAGACCTCGACGTCCAGGGTCTCTGAGCGGGTGTACAGGTCCTGGTAGTCCTCCACGTAATCCAGACGCTGCTTACCTGCACAAACAGGTAATACAGCTTACATGGACAGACACATCGCAGGCACATGGCATCATCGTCAAACCAGCCCCATCCCAGCGCTACGTTCACATGAACCCTCCTACAGTCTGCTCCACCCGCAACAGCAACTCAGGAAAAGTTTACTCTTCTCTTTACAGCAGACAAGTTAATATTATACCAGATCCTCTAAAATCATAACAATGTGTTCCTTTCTGGTTTGGTTCCAGAGGAGCTTTTTTAAAAACCTGAACCGTTTAAAATCATCATTTCTCATTTCTTACATACAGATTTGGCATCATGTCTATTTAAAACAACGTTTGTGATGTAAAGATTTATGCAATAAAATGAGCACACAGAGTAAAATCACTCTCCTAATATAATGTGTTTTAGTCACATGACCCTGACATGTCTGAGGTGTGAGAGGTACTTCCTGTGTACGTCCAGACTCACTCTGCAGCAGCGTCCTCCAGCTCAGCCCGTCACAGATGAACAGACCCTTCCCCTGAGCATTGAACCACAGCTGGCCCTGCTCCGGCCTCGAGCAGGGAGGACGATCTCCCACAGTCACTCTGGCTTCGGCCTCTGAAACAGGACAGAGCGAGGGTTACACCTGAGGAGCGTCATGGGAACCGAGGACATGTGAGCCCCCGATAATAAGCTCCTCTGTTTAACACTTTCATAACAGCACACGATCGTTTTATTGGCTTAAACCAAAGCAAACTTAAAAAATCTCTGAAGTACCAAAGGATGGCAGATTCACAGTTTCCTACTTATTCCTGTTGTTCAGGACCTCACTGTCGTCTACCTGACTGAAACCATCAGGCTCCCTCTGAGCCGCAGTCACAGTAAAAACTTACAAACATTTTTTCAATGAAACAAACATGTAGCAGAGAGCACACATCAAATATAACCCAAAGAGCTCCAACAGCACAAACACGTCCAGAGGCCACGCCCCTAATAATGCAAACTTTAAACAGGTGAGTTATAAAAACATCCTCCCTGTACAGGTGTTATGAAGGAGAAACGATCCACAGAGACCAGTCTGTTTATTTCTGGTGAAGCTTTAACATGGGAGTCTATGGGGACTGACTCACTGCTGCCTCTGCTGGACGTTAGAGGAACTGCAGGGCTAGAGCCCTACAGTGAAACATGGTGGGGGGGTAAACAGGACCCCTGATCATTCGCTAGCATGTTTCTCTGCAGCAAAGCTGGATGTGGAGGGCTCGGCTGGAAACACATGCCTGTGTTCCTGTTAGCAGCTGCTTCAGTCTGTGCTCGGCAGATGAACACGCAGGTAATGAAGTGAAGGTTTCCATTTAACATGTCTGTGAAGGTTCTCAGTCGTCCAGGTCATTGTAGTCTAAGGAGCTTGCAAAGAAAAGCGTCTGGACTTCTTTAGGTTGCTTGAAGACGTTTCACCTCTCATCCGAGAAGCTTCTTCAGTTCTAAGGTCAAATGGTGGAGAGTCCCAGATATAAACCTAGTGGGAGTTTCCATTTAACCACAAGAGATGAGTCCTCCATGATACATCAGACGTCTTCACCTGAGGGGCAGCCAGATCCAGATCCAGATCAAACTGCCACCACGTTACCACAAATGATGCAGACGTGCTCAGATAGAGCCTGACTCTAAAACAGGAGCTCTGCTGTGTTGTCTTCTGCTTTTCTCTGGAAGCAGAGACTCTGAGTGTTGAAACGAGGCAGCTGCTGTTTGTGTGGTGCGCTCAGGTATGTAAATCAAACACACCACAGACAGAGCTGACACAGGTTTATGTAAACTGTGACTCATAAAGAGTCAGGATGACTGAAGGGTTCAGCACCGAGTCTTCAATCAGCTGAACTTTATTAACTCTGAGCATGGATGGATGGATGGATGGATGA